GAATTGATATAGTAGGCCTTCTTTTACAAATGTTGTGAATTTGGGAAAAGGACTTTTTTAAGATTCATTGTGGAATTTGAAGATTTTTTCTGTAGTTTTTTCGTCTTGCACCATCTTCTTCTATAGGTCAATGTGACACAACCAGACCAAATTTTTGAATGAAAATTTCAGAAATCGATTATATACATCTTCTCGTATAAAAATTGTCAATTGTTTTAAATTGTATGAAAGAGTTTTAAATTATTAATTGCGATACTGGAGAGGTTTTTCTCTAGTGTTTGCTTTACCCACCGCCGTCTTCTAAAGCTAGTTCTGGGACAACCAGACTACATTTTCGAACGCGGATTTAAACAATCGATGTTTTTAAGCCTCACAAACCCTGTGAATTAGACTGATTTGGATAAAGTTTTTTCTTCGTAATTCCTTGCAGTAAATTGAGAAAGTTTTTCTGCGAGTTGTTCTTCTTGTACCATCTTTTGCTTCAACCGATTCTGAGACAGTCAGTTTTTTTTTCGGAAACTTGATTAAGCGCGAAATAAYACAGTGGGTATGTGCCAGTATCGGGAGAATTTGGAGAATAAATTAGAAGAAGTGCGATAGCCCTGATAGTGCGGCCTGATTTCCACGTAAATTTGYGTTTTATACGATTTTGTGAGTTTTATACGAGTGTAAATGGGGAGGTTCGTCCAAAAAAGTCTGAAAGGCATTCTCCGACTCCCTCCCAAGAGTGGAATACGTGGGGCGTCGGTGCTTCTTTGGGATTCTTTAGTACAAAATCAGAAGTAATCTTTTTTGTATCAGTGTTTTTTAAACATCATTTTCGATGCTTACAAATTACAGATTTGAAGTTTGTTAGTCTTCCTTGTTCAAAAGTCGTTCGTAAATGCCCACTCAGCAAGCGCAACGCGCTATAAGTTTTTCTTACTGTTAGATTTGCTGCTAAAATGTTGGATTACATAGACCATAGACAATCCTTTCAAAAACTGAAAATTTGGGGAATGTAATAACAGTTTCATCCATTGCATCTTCAGGTTTATCCAATCGAAACAATTGTTTTAACTTGTTGTGAAAACAATGGTTTATTAGACAATCAACTTCTATTTGAATTTTTACGGGAACTGATTGACTGGTAGGCATAATATAGTGTTCTTGATTCATGATAGCTCATTTTCTTTTGCAGGTCACGCATTATAAAAATTATTGATATAATCAAAAATTTGTGCAACGGACTTTTATTGTATATGCCGCGTGAGGTGGTGGCAACTGTTGAAGTGCAAATTGTCCCATATCTCGATGAAATATTATTGAATTTCTGCCAAACTAAGATTGGGATATATTAATACTCAGCGACACTTTTATCCTGACAAGGCCAGTGGTGTTCATACATTCGGAGCGATTTAGGTAGCATTTCATCAACTGTCCCTCATTTTAGGTACTATAGCATATTGTATGCTATTAATCCGATTTTTCAGTTAATGTCTCGATGTTTTTCGTTGTTTTTTTAATTGTGTTTTACAAACTTGTTCCGTTAGTCTAATACGTGGTTTTTGTCAAAAGTATTTTTGTCGTTGTAAAGTTGTCGAAATTGTTCAACTCTAAATACTTAAAAGTCCGCAAATTATTTTAAACGGTTTTGTAAATCCTTATGAGATTGAACATCTTTTTCTGCTTAGAGTTACGTTTATTATTAATGGCTACATTTTATATAGAGTTTGACGCATATTTACGCTTAAGTATATTATATATACTATTGTAAGTAGTTTAACAATATTTTTGGAATTTCTTGCAAGAAATGGACTTTTCCAATATATTTGTATCTTCAATTACTGCAGATAAACAAGATGAGACGAAATGTTTGTTTACTACCTATTCCTTCCTCCATCCAATCCGTCCCTGTTAAGATACTTTTTTTTGATGCTAAAGACACACGATAAAAAGTAGAGCGTTGTAGTCAAACCGGTTCTCTTGCCAGCCACCAAATAAGAGCGGTTCTGAAGACTCGTAATAACATTAAATTTTTGCATTTTGCTTGAAATCTAGTTACATTTCTAGAAAGATGTTTGGGTACAAAAAAGTACGCAATTTAACTCTTTATCTCGCAGTGAAAACTGGAGCTTTATAGCTCAACCGGTTCGCTTAATACGAACCACAGACGAAGAGCAGTTCAGTTTTTCTGTATTTTAGAGCGTTGTGGAAAATATATTTTCCTGAGATTCTGAGAGTTAAGTAGGATTTTGCAATGTGCTTTTGTGGTAGATTTAGAGGCAGAGGTAGAAAGAAGCGAATTCCTGGCCACTCAAAAAAGTCTCCACTTTAGGGCTTTTGACTAAAGACACTATTCCCGTAGTGGTGTAGAATTGACGGATAAAATAATCTTAAACATGCAAAAATTTCAAAATAATGCTTAATAATCAAATTGAAATTCGATTTTCATTGTTAACATCTTCTAGAAATTTTTGAAAAATAATTTTGTACTCTCCAAGTAAGCCCCTATTACCCCTAAAAAGGAAGGACGACTATTTTGCAATACCCTGTATAACATTGGCTTTTTACATTTAAAAACGAAAAAAAATCCCATTTTTGCGATCCAGAATTAGTTTTTACTTAATCTGCTTTATTTCACGTGTATTTCAATTTACAAGAAAAAAACGATGATTGTCCAGAAAATAACTAGTCAAAGTTCTACGTACCCACCTATACATTTTGTCTGTATATTCACGTTTTCTCAAAAATATTCTGCCGAAAATTCCTTTTATTGCAATGTGGCCGTCAAGCATTCCTTACTTGAATTCAACAGCTTTTTAGAGATCAATCAATACACATTTAAATAAACACGGTTAAGGCATCGGGTGGCCTTTAGATAGTGTTATATTTCATTCAGTGCTCTTGACGTTAGTGTTTTGAATTATTAAGGATGACTAAAAAAAGAAATAAGCGACACAAGACGCAATGTGAGAAGAAACTCGCCGAATCAACAAAGAGCACAAATCAAGTAGTAGAAACAAAAGCTGACATCGTTACTGCACGGTGGGTCTTTCATCTGATATAAAGGAGTTAGTGGCCCCAAAGTTAGTCACTTTGAAGCTGATAACAGCGTCATTTCCAGAGCTCCTGTCGTTACGCAGTGTGTAGAACCTAAACCCCAAGTTTATTATTGGGCTGATCCAAAGGTTATGAGCTCAAAGCTCCCATTAACAGACGCAGATCAAGCAGCATCGGATAACAAATGTTTAAAAAAGTATATAGTGGGGCAGGGTTGTGGTTTTACTTTCATATTTAAGCCATTTATTCCAGTCAAGTAGAGGATTATGCACATTACCACCGGGGTGAACCACAAATCGATCCCGTCTGCGGCCTGAAAAAGTTTTACAAAAATGAGTTTGAGGCTTTCGAAAAATACTTTATAAAGATTCAGTAAGTAGATATCTATCAAATTAACAGGACGAGAAAAACTAAGTGTTACCTGCAAAAATCGTACAAAATTAATTAATATAAATATGAACGTTAATAGCAGCCATCCCGTTGATAACCCGATTTTCAACGCGATCAGTCGAGAGGTATTGAAGTTGTCGGATCAGCCCACTTGTAGTCTGACAATGCAATATACTGGTGATCCCTACAAACTAGAGTTCTTTCGAGAGCCCTTCAATGTTAAATACCCACCAGTACTGGCGCCCAATAAAATGATTGAATTTGCCCATGCCAGCATTAAAATCGCGTAAGTTCAGACGAATTTCAGTAGTAACCAAATGAGTTGAAAAGTTTTCCGGTCTTAAAAGAGTCTTGTTCACATCTGCAGTGGACCAGTTGAAGTCCCACCTATAACTGGTTCGTTATTTGGTGCTGCTGCTGTTTTTATACTATCCCTTGCGCGCCGATCAGTGGTGGGGATAGAGAACAAGAACGCATTGGGATTAATCGTAGTGAATGCCTTATCGCCCGGAAAACTCTTCAACTAATTTGTGGACTGGGTGTAAAAGCTTCCATAGTTCGATACATTGAGGGTGTAACTTTTTTAGAGAAAATGACCTCAAAGGCCGATGCCTAGTGAGTACCACTCAGTTAGAACCTCATACAGTGCTAATAAGCGAAAAGGCCACAGTGTTACAAATCACGCCACCATGTATATGCAAATCTAGTACAGATCCGGCATACCAGTGCCACCA